TAGAAAAGATTCTGGCTGGAAAAAAACAGATTGGCTGGGATTTGGTTATGGTGAATATTATTGCGGAGAAGAAAGAAAAGCTGCGAAGTAAGTCTGGATTGTTGCTGTCAGAAGTAAGCTAAAGAAGGCGGAGTGGCGTGGTGGTAACTAGGCTATGTGTCATGGTTTGATTAACCAATCTGGGCCAATCTCACTGGACCCCTGCAGGTTTGCAAATCGGGACTGGATCCTACATTTGAAGGACCGGCTGTATGTCAGATTAATACGTTACGCCATCGCAATTAGCCGCATGTACACGTTGCAACGGCTATCTGCAAGTAACCCTAAAAGGATCACGCCCGTCCAATGGAGGGGCTGTACCCTACCAGGATATTCATAAACCATGTACATACCTGGTACCTTAGGTACCGTGTAGTACGTACAGGCAAGTGGTAATTTGTGTTAGAACGTGTACCTGCAGGTGGGGGCTAAACAGTACGCACACGAGCCAACCTATCAGCCGCTGCAGCATCGGCGGGAGGCGGAAAGCCTCTCCCGCCTGAAAAGCCTCTCCCGTCTGGACTGGACTGGCAGCCCCCACTTGGCGCGGTGCACAGGGATTCGGGATGGATAGGCTCTGGAGCGGGTGGTTTGGCCCCATACTCCGTTACTCCGTACTGCACAGTACAACCCTTAGACACTACTCCGGACCTAGACACTACCTAGTGGCACACACTATACTCATCTCAGTAACTCGGGAGTCGGGACAGCCCCTCGCCTCATCTCGCCCTTCAGTTGTGGAGTGAACAAGGATTCAAACAACCGGTTAATCCCCGTCCGCCCAAGCGATAGGCTCGCGGAGTATCCGTAATTCTGCCCTATCGACCGTGCAGCCCGAGAGCCATTGGCCATTGGCCATTACGGTTTGCATGAAAGAACATGGGGGCGGAAGGATTTAGTCTGCCGATTGAAGGTGGGCATTCAATTGACCGGGGAACACGATAGGGATTAGGACGGTTTAAGATAAAATCAATACCTAGGAAAGGAACCTTGGAACAGTACATGGTATTGATCCAAAGACAGGAGTGGAAGAAGGCAAAGCCAATATACGAACTGCAAACTTGGAATCCTGCCCAAGTGTTGCTCCTCGGGAGAAAACGGTGGAACGCTATTTTGCTGTACGCTATCAACAGAATTCTTTTGGGGGCTGAAAGAAAATAACTCGCTGCGTAGGCGACGAGTAGATACTATAGTTACTGAATTCGGGTCCGGTAGTGGAGATCTTTGCCGTTGATGCGGGCCGAAACCTTGGGACGAACCTTACTAGGTTGGGATACCAAACTTTTGGCCCCGGGGCAGTGCTTAAATGAGCCCTGTCTGTCTCTGTGACAAGTCCATCATAAGGCCGTCAAGGTTGCGGGGATACTGCACGGAGGGCAAAATGAAACGTATGTACATCAGCGATCCAAAGCAGGCAATCAATCCGTGCACGTAGCGCCATATAAATAAACTTCTATATTCTTCCTTGTCGAGAACTTCCGAGGGGCCGAACTAAATAAATGAGAAAGATCTTGTGATATGAGGGGGTGATAAACATGGAGGCCGGACCAGCCAGGTCTAGAGCAGGCGGATGCATAGAGATAAGAGGTCACACCAGACATCCAATTCAGCTGTCCTCTCTCAATTCATCAAGGTTTAATGGAAGGGGTCAGGAAGAATACCATGTCAACATAGTCAATAGGTTCGACTGTCACACCGGGGTATACATTCAGATACACATCACAAATAGTAGGAGGTGAAGAGGGTGCACACAGCCCACATATTGTCCACACATCTACACCCCCCCCCACCCCTCTGCAGCGTCCCTCCGCAGCAAGCGACTAGTCGACCATCCTGGCAGGCGGAAAGTGGACGCGGGAACAAGGTCACATAAGGCGAAACCCCAGCTACACTCTAGTCTTACTCATTATTAAATCCCCTGTTGGTTTTTCATTTCCAACGATTCGGCCCCACTTTCAGTTGCAAAACCAGAGGGGGCCGGAAGGAACGCCTTGGCCCACCCGCGGTTCATTCACTCAATAGTTATATTACTCGGGGATCTCAGTACCCATTATATAAGGTCTTTTTCACTGTAGCCACGCTCTACACGCTCGTCTTCACAGGGAGGATTTCAGCGTCTAAATGAACATTTACTGCTCATTGCACATTCAGAACTCCCTGTAACTATTATGTCTCAGTCCGTGTCCTCTGTGGACCTTTCCGAAACTCGTCAACCTAGTTTGTATGCTTCTTCTACAATACCTTTCTGCCTCGCATTTATCTGTGTCGCTCTTCGATTCTGGTGCCGCTGGAAAAACACAGCCGGCTTATGGTTTGATGACTGGCTGATTCTAGCCTCACTGGTACGTACCTACTGTCTGTCGCTTCTGCCCCCGGTTGAGGGTTTCTAACATTGTTAATCAGGCTAGCGGCGCTGGCCTGACCGCTTCATTATTGTGGTGTAAGACGAGATCCAATTGGTATTGCACAAATATTGGAAACTGACAGATGCAGGGATACCTCGCGCCCTTGGAAGACATATTCAGACCTTTGGACTCGATGCAACGGAGGACGCATATATCGGGCTGTTCTCTTGTGAACTGACCTACACCGGCGTCATTGTCCTTGTCAAGTTCTCGATTCTGGCCTTGTACTGGCGTCTATTCAACAGGACGAACATCAAGATTCCCATCAGCATCATTGCCACAGCGGTCTGTATGTGGGGTATCGCTGTAGTAAGTGTTCTTTTCCCGCCCTCAAGTAGAAGATCATCGCTCACAATTCCAGTTTTTGCTCACGTTGCTGCAATGCATACCAACCCGAGGATTATGGGATCAGTCCATTGATGCCTCTTGCAACGTTGACAGCCAAAAGTTCCTGTTTGCGATCTCAATCCCAAACATCATCATCGACGTTACTCTTCTCACACTTCCTGTGCCTTACATCCTGAAACTCAACACCTCAAACAGCCACAAAAAAGCTATTATGTCCATGTTTCTTCTCGGCAGTTTGTAAGAAGGCCTCTCATTCTGATTGTTGCCAATAGCAGGCTAACCGAACAGCGTATGTATCGCCTCGATAATGCGACTCATCGCAGTAATGAGCCAAGGCACCGATGCGGACGTCAGTTGGAACTGGGTCAATCAGGCCATGTGGGCCACCATCGAAGCCGACTTGGCAATCGTCTCAGGTACGTGCCATCTTCTTGCTGAGTAGTAGGGGTGACTCATTATATTGACTTCACTGCATCAAAGCTTGCCTCCCAACGTTGCGACCTGTATGGGTCGCAGTTCGACAACAAATCTTCGGTGCCCAATCGTCCAACCAATCCGCCGACCCACCCTCTTGGGCTACGCCACCGAAACGCTCCCATACCTCATCATGGGCCACAAAGATACTCAAGTCGGACCCCGACGATAACGAAGACACGCAGCCTTTCTCTACTGCGAGTAGTAGTCATATGGAAGAAGGACTACACCGTGACTCGACATTCGACCAACCGCATACTAAAACGACCGTTGCGATCCCATTAGCGACCCTCAAGGAACAAGCCACTCATGACAAGGAAGGCATTACCGTGGACAGAGCTTGGAATGTTCGGTAGAATTCTTATAGCCACTTGAATGAATTGTTAAAAAAAAAAAACATATTTCTCGGAATCTGCTACCAAAGGGGGCGAAGTTACTCTTGTCAAACGCCGTGCGAAACTTTATTATCATCAGTCGATCTTATACGAAACTACATAAATGTAATTATTAATGTGGCAACGACTCTTATTGAGGCTCAGAGTTAGCGAGATTGCACAATATTGACATATCTTACAACAAGCTGTCGTATGTTCTTGTTCTCATCCTGGATGGATAGCCAGGGCAAGGGCGCTGGATATACCGTATTCTCAAAAGTAGTGATCCTGGTATTACCTATTAGCCGGTACTTAGCGCATTGGTCAAAGCATATAGCAAAGGGGGTTGCTCCTTTATTAGTTAGAAGAAGCGTGCCAATACACAGGATCAGCCTAGTTTCACCCTAGGTACTAAATAAAGCTTATTTTCCACGGGGACATCCTGTTCATGTGGAGCGACATGCCCTTGCAATAGCTTACTTCACAGCCAAAAGCATTAATTGATCTCTCTTCTGGGTCCAAGGGCAAGTGGAAATCCCGATCGGTAGTATCTATTATCTAATCCCATGATTCAGACTAATGCTGATATCCAAACAAGTACCTACCTACCTTAAGCAAGGAAGTTTCAACATACATACATGCTAAAAGTACCACATCATTTGACATCATTATCTAGTAAGCACTGCACATACTGATTGGGATGGTGCAAATTGAAGGCCATTGTGCCAATAATCCGACAAAGCAACTCCAGAAACAAACACCGCAACTTTAGGATTCTTATTTTCGATTGGGAAGGAAATCCTGCAAAGATGGTTGGTCCTTTCCAACAATCAGCTTATTTATCCTAGGTATATTTTAGACTACTCCATAAGCCACAGTGTTGTACTAGTTATAGTTACCTGCGGGTGCTTAGTACACCGACTCCATCAGCACTGCTGATTCGTCGGGAGTTCGGTCCGTTCCACTACGTCAGTCTGATGCCTTGCCCTCTTTATGATGACACCTTCTCCCCTCCTATAGTGTATAAAGTAGGCTGGCTGTTTTCCTTGGGGAGGATTAGTCTATCTCGGAAGAATGATACTATTGCTTTGCCTTGCCTAACCTACGGCCCTCTACTCCGTTATAGTAGTAGTTTTTGACACACAGGCAGGTCTTGATTAGATTTAAAATAGTAAAGATAAATAAAAATAAAATAAGTTATACAGAGATCCTATTCACTAGATATATTATAAGATTTAAAAAAAATCTAGAATTAATAAATATAAAATATCTAGTATAAGTGAATATAAGATACTTTTACCATTTATAATAGCCCTAAAAAATAATCTGAAACCTGAAAACCCTAATTTTCTCATTCACTGGCAAGGTGGTCGAGTGGTTAAGACGTAAGACTTGAATTCCATTCACTGGGAGAAATCTTATCCCTTCGGGGTCGCGCGTTCAAATCGCGTCCTTGTCGGCTATTTGTTTTTTTCCCCTTGTCTAAGGGTCATGTGGAGACGCAAAAAAAGCAAAAATTTGAAAAAAATAATAAACCCCTGAAAAAAGTATAAAATTTTGATAAAAAAATAGAGAATAGGACATATTTTGTCACGAACCCTACTCCCAGGTGCGCTTTTAGGGGGTCCGCTGCGTATGATAACCGCTAGGCTATCGGCAACAGACTAGAATACTAAGCCCGAAGGCTTAGAGCGCGCATCCCTTATATAGGAGGTTGACCAGGTCCCTCACTCCTCACATCTTTCAGCTATATAAATATTGTGAGAAAGGTATCAATAAAAAGCTATTTTCTACACAATGCTACTTATTGTTAGATTTAAGGTTTAGAGATTTAAATATAAGCAATAGTTGATTGTAATATAAATCTTATAGTATTTCTGTACTAATTAAATTGAAATTATCTTAGTAGTATTTATTTGTGATATTAGCTGTCACTTGACCTGTAGGTAGGTGCCTGGCTCCTGAGGCAGCACCTGCACATATTGACAGCTTTAATAGCATCTTCTGAGGGTAAATTACATGTATACAAAAAAGCCCAAAAAATGTAGAGAAAAACCTCACTAGGAAGCAAGATGCCCCCCAGACTCTTAGCCTTTATTCGTAGTCATCTCTGCAAGTTGTCCGAACTGTGCGAGTCTAAAGGAATCTGAAGGCGGGGGGTGAAAGCGATCCATTGACCAGGGTATTGTTGCTAGAACATACTCCAGACTAACGCTATAGAATCCAGCCTAGAGGCTACGTGGCCATAGTATAGCGTTTTCCTATGCATCATAGAGTTCGCAAATCTGAAGAGTGGTCGACCATTCCCGTGGCTCTATTATGCTCCTACGATGTTGCAGAGGGCGCTGCAAGTTTGCCTCTCCAGTGACGCTGTATCACTCCATCTTGAAGCAATCCAAGAAAATATTGGGGGCGTATAATACATCTGCCCGAACGACTGCCTTTAGCTGTATTGATTTCAGTTACTTGTACAGGTGGATTTGCTGTTAACCTTAACTATCCAAAGGATACGGTGTGTTCACAGGTGAGCTGAAAGCTTCCCCATTCAGCCATACGTGTATTATTTTTTCACTTGTCGTACATGGATTGGTAAAGTTCATGTCACATGGTGAGCTCTGCATGATATTCTTGCGGGTCTCCTTCATAAGTGCTCTGTGGTTCTCTGGATGTGCATCGGAAGACCAGAGTAGTAAGTCCTTCGTAAACATTCGCAAACAATTCCAAATTTGTCCATGTGTACCTAGTAGAGGTGGTATGCTGTCAGGTGATGCCGTCACGGTGCCCGCCGTTGGAGCGACTTCACTACAGCTTCCACAGTTTCTCCAGCGCAGGCTTGCTCATCGTCGCTTCCACCACCTCCTTCCACACATCCGAAAACATCGATTTCTGTCGAGTTGACAGTCCATCCCATCCCTCAGCGATGCGCCGCTCATCCTCCCCCCATCGCTGCAACTCCTGGTGGATCCACGGCCCGATTGCCTCTGCTGTCTTGGAGACCTTCTCGAGCGGCAAGGTGTGGCCGGATTTCTCAACAGACAGATGTTTTACTCGACCGCGGTCCATGCCCCCACTTCCTCCAAAATCAATGCCCGTCCTCTTCGCCATTCGGGCATGCGCCCCGGACTTGCTTAACGGACTCTGGGCTCCGCTCAGAAAAAGCACCGACGGTCGAATATGGGGCAACACTCTCCCTGCTAGAATTGGTTCGGGTCGGTATGCTCGCTGCCACGGAAGCAATCCGCCTATCACATCTGGGAAAAATAACGGATCGTGCGGCGGAGTAGGATCATCTTTGTCATTCTGGATCGGCAAACCTAGTTGCCTGTGTCGATGCGGGTTAGCTCGGGTATACATCATCCCTTCCTGGTGTTTTGACGTGGCCAACGTCACCGGGGATTCTGAGTCGGTCGTCGGGCCCTTCTGTGGATGAACCACCGTGGGAAGACTGCGATATCCCCATTGGGCCCAGCGGTCGAGCACACGTGGGTCCCAGAACTGGAAAAACTTGCGGGCTTTCGCGACTGCTTCTGCCCGCGATGACCATGTGTCGCGTTTCTTGGAGGTCATGTACACGAGCTGCGGACCATTTCCATCGAGTGTTTTGTCGGTGATGTATGGTTCCACAAGCAGGAGCGAGGTGAACAGCCGGGGATGTATTGTCGACAGAAGGATGCTACACTCATTTAGTAACGATCAGACGCTGTTGATTGGGGGTACGCACAGCTGTGTTCCGCCTAAGCTGTGTCCTAGTCCCATGATAGGTCTAGGCATCTTGTCGCGGAATTGGTTGATCATGAGGAGTAAATCACGGCTGTGGTCGACCCATGACGCTACTGCTGTCAGTAAAAGGTATAAAAAAATCATCGTGGCACAACTGACGGTCATTTCCCAGGTAGTTCTCGTTGTGAATGCCACTGGCGCCTTGGTTGGCCACATCGGCTATCCAGATGGAGCGAATGCGGAATCCATCCTTCTTGCTTCGTGCATAGAGTTCTTCCCAGAGAGGCTCATACAGTTCCTAGGTTTCTAAGAAACTGCGACGGTAATAGTCCAAGCATAGGGTCATACCTTGACAAAGCCGGTGCCATGGGCGGCCACAATGGTGAGGTCTCCGGGTTGGGGCTCAGGATTGTCGACCGGCGTATATTGTTTGACGCAAAGCTTTAACGGCGCATCCTGAGTTGTCGTTGCTCGAGGATATTCTCGAATGTATTGGGCATCAATGAGATGTTCTGTGATGATGAATGGTGATGACATCTCGAGTAATTGAGGATTAGGACGGTGAAGTTTTTGGTGCTCTGCCCAAGAGAAGAGCGCTCGCTAAGCTTTAACCAACTGGCCAGGACTTCACAAGAGGAGACAATCCTGAATTTATCTTATCGCAGAATGCCTTTCCTGTTAGGAGTGTGTTTCAGGTTTCTGAAAAGCGTACTTGTCTTCCATCCTTTACGATCGTGGTGGACCCTCTCAGGCTCTCGAGCTGACCTCATAGCGGTCTAGCAGCTCCATAGTAATATCGGCAGGATGGGTCAATCTTCAGCTCACCGGTCTACTGGGCACTACCCGAATCGGAAAATGGATGCGCTGGTTGCTGATCGTGGGTCCGGCACTGGCCAGCCGATCTCGGATCCGTTCGCCTGGTCACAGCACTCCATCCGCATCGGGCATCTCTACAGAACATGGTATCTAATGTTGCAGCTTGCCGTTCATTTGGTTGATTGGCAAAATATCTTGTGAGCCGTCGTCTCACTATTGTCCCTTGGCATTTGCCCGGTCGCGGGGATGGATGTCAAACTCGTGTTCTGCACGCACAGAGCAGGCATCTCATCGCGGTGGATATAGTTCCCGCTTCGTGCCGCGGGCACGAACCAGTCAGTGTTGGCTGGCAGCCACTTCGCGCCAGCACCTTGATCCACGTCGATCTTGGCTATGGTGTCCGTTGCCCGCAGTCTCGATCGATCTGTTCGCCTATCATTCGAGGAGCGATCCACGGTCTCCGTTTTGGCCCAGATCAATGCGACAGGTTGCATCATTTGGCCATAAGAGGACATGCATCTTGAAGATCCCTGCTTCTCTGGTAGGTACATCAACCTGGATACCGCACATTATACTGTAAAGCACTTACTCGACGACACCGCGAGAATCCACAGTGGACATTTTTGCACGGCTCGAGGTTTCGTAATGCATTTGATTTGGAGCTGATGGGGTCGAGGGAACCCTCCCTCAAAAGAGAGGGTTGCTCTGTTCTGCCCATGGATCGATCATATATCAACCCTGTAGTGTGGTGATCAAAATGCCCTTCTCGCAAGACAGCGGTCAAATTCCCAGCATGGACTTGCATATTTTGCCTGCGATCACAGCACTGCTATTTCTACTCTATGTAAGTGATGCCCGCACCCAGCAAACATCCCCGTGCTAACAAACCAGGGCTGCATACTCGCCATATACAGGCTCTTTTTCCATCCCCTGGCCAAATACCCAGGGCCTCGTCTGGCTGCTCTCACAGACTGGTACGTGGCATTCTACGCATGGCGAGGGGACTTGCACAAGCAGAACCTCCAATGGCACTCCAGATACGGTATGCACAACATCTTGCCTTGATGAAACAGACTAACAAGTCCCCAGGCAAAGCGGTCCGTCTCGGACCCAATGCTCTCAGCTTTAACTCCTCCTCCGCCATGAGCGACATCTACAGCGTCCGATCCAACGTCCGCAAATCCGACGGATACGTCGCGATATCCGCAAGCCGTCGCACCCCTAACATAGTCACCACCATCGACAAAGACGTCCACGGCTTCAAGCGTCGAATTCTCGCGCAGGTGTTCTCCGAACGGGGTATCAAGGAGATCGAGGACCGCGTCCTCGACAACATCTCCGACTTTGTCGACCTCCTCGGCTCAGATACAGATGCCACGACCGGCTGGAGCACGCCCAAGGACTTCGCACAGGCATGCAACTGGCTCACCTTCGACGTCATCAGCGGTCTCTGCTACGGCGAGGACTTCGACATGCTCAAGTCCAGCAAAATGCGGTGGTTCCCAACAGTGATCAACAAGATTGGCCAGCGCGGCATGATAGTATGCCAGCCTACCACAACCCATAAGTACATCTCCCTCGCTAACCTCCATCCAGAACTTCGTCCAACCCCAATTCATCCGACTTAAACTCGACACCATCCTCCTCGCCTCCCAATACAAAGACATCGTCGCCGCAGGCACCTGGGTCCGACAACGCGCCGAATCCCGCGCCCAACTCGGCAACGACATCAAACAGAAAGATATCTTCTACGCCATGATGAACGCCACCGACCCGAAGACCGGCCAGCAATTCACCCAAAAAGACCTCTGGGTTGAATCCATGCTCTTACTAACAGCCGGTGCGTTACCCATACCAACCCCCCTCAAACCCCAAACACTAACTAATCACCAACAGGCGCCGACACAACCTCCACAGCCCTCA